AAAACGGGAAAAATATTTTTTTGTTCAAAACCCATGTTGTGGGTACTCAGATTGTGCGGAATTTCCTCCTGAACAAGAATATGTAAATATTATTACGATCGGACCACTATTAAGTAAAATATCACCGAAAAACGGGAAAACGGGGAAATTTTTCTTTGCTCAAAACCCATGTTGTAGGTACTCCTGAACAAGAATATGTAGTTTTTATTACTATCGCTTTTAAGTAAAACATCACCGGACAGGTTACCTAACCTAACATAACCTAACTTGGGGTTAGATTAGGTTAGGTTAGGATAGGTTAGTTTAGGTTAGGTTAGGTTAAGTTAGGTTAGGTTAGGTTGGTTTAGGTTAGGTTGAGTTTCGTTAGGTTAGGTTAAGTTTGGTTAGGTTAGGTTGGTTTAGGTTAGGTTGAGTTTTGTTAGGTTAGGTTAAGTTTGGTTAGGTTAGGTTAAGTTAGGTTAGGTTAGTTTAGGTTAGGTTAGTTCAGGTTAGGTTAAGTTAGGTTAGGTTAGGTTAGGTTAAGTTAGGTTAGGTTAAGTTAAGTTGGTTTACGTTAGGTTGAGTTTCGTTAGGTTAGGTTAAGTTTGGTTAGGTTAAGTTTGGTTAGGTTAGGTTAAGTTAGGTTAGGTTAGTTTCGGTTAGGTTAGGTTAGGTTATGTTTTGTTAGGTTAAGTTTGGTTAGGTTAGGTTAGTTTAGTGTTACCTAACTTAACCTAACCTAACTTAGGAACTTAGGTTAGGTTAGGTAAGTTTATCAATAACATGAGTATAGTAAGTAAACTAACCTAAACTAACCAAACTAACCCAACCAAACTTAACCTTACCTAACCTAACGAAACTCAAACTAACCTAAACCAACCTAACCTAACTTAACTTAACCTAACCTAAACTATACTAACCTAACCTAACTTAACCTAACCTAACCAAACTTAACTTAACCTAACCTAACGAAACTCAACCTAACCTAAACCAACCTAACCTAACCTAACTTAACCTAACCTTACCTAAACTAACCTATCCTAACCTAACCTAACCTAATCTAAACCTAAGTTGGGTTATGTTAGGTTGGGTAACCTGTCCGGTGATGTTTTACTTAAAAGCGATCGTAATAAAAACTACATATTCTTGTTCAGGATGAAATTCCGCACAATTTGAGTACCTACAACATGGGTTTTGAGCAAAGACAAATTTCCCCATTTTCCCGTTTTTCGGTGATATTTTACTTAATAGTGGTCCGATCGTAATAAAATTTACGTATTCTTGTTCAGGAGGAAATTCCGCACAATCTGAGTACCCACAACATGGGTTTTGAGCAAAGAAATATTTTTCCCGTTTTTCCCATTTTCCGGGAAAACGGGACGTTTCCGAAAAAAACGACAATCATTTTTGAAATCAGCGTGAAATTTCGAATATTTTGGAAAAAATTTTTTTTAATTTCGCGTGAGGTCCGGAGGTCGATATAATTACCAAAGAGAACCTTTCTTTGTGGAAGATGTGGTAAGAAATTGTAGTCCTATAGGCTATGAAGACATAACACCCTGGAGGCAATTAGGCCTATTTCAAAACCTTAAAAGAAGTGTTTTTCAAGGTAGGCCTAACTTAGTATTTACAAATTTGGCATGTTTACCAACAAATGTAATGTAGGTACCTAGGCCTAGGCTATGTGCTGATAAAAAATACCAACTTCACTAACTTACACTACCGGTACCGGTACATTATTGATGTATGATTTTTTATTCCTTAGCTTCTTGGCTTTATCTAGGTTACAGTTTCTTAACTGGGCTATGCTAATATCAATTGAAACTATCGAATTGAAAATATTGATTGATAATCGATATTTTTAAATATATTTATTATAAAATTTAACTACCATAACCTAACCTAACCAACCAAACTTACTGATGGTGAAAAAATCACATGAAGGTTTACTAATCGAATCGATAGTTTCAATCGATATTAGCATTGCCCAGTTAAGAAACTGTAACTTACCCTTTATCTATAAGTAAACGCAGAGGATAACGCGCCCGGCAGTTACTATCATAACCTGACCTGGTAAGAATTTTGGACCCAGACTCCAGCTTAAAACACACATTCTGAAGTGTGAAATTGTGTAAAAAGTGTATAAAATGAAGTTTTGAAGGATTATAATGGGGGGAAAAGCAATTCCAGTCCCAAATAAGCCTATTGACTGGATTTAATAAACGCAGAGGATAACTTACGCGTCTGGTAACAGGACGTGGATTAGGTGTCCGGCAGTTACTGTCATAACCTAACCTAACCAACCTAACTTGCTGATAATGAAAAAAATCAAATAAAGGTTCAATTCTCTTCATAGGCTAAGATAAAATTGTAAAATGCCAAAAATTCTAACAAAAAATGTACAGTTAACCCTGGAACTGCCGATCGGTCATTTTATGACCGACAGGGTCCGTTCCGTAGTGCCATCGGTCACAAAATGACCGATCCAGTATTTTTCATATATATAAGCTTCTACTCATCGGAACGAAGTATTTTATGCATCAATATTAAGCCAAAGAGGTTGGCTGCCTGCTAATATGACAGTTTTTACGTTTTAGCGAATTTCCCATATAGGGAATAAGCTATTACCGTAGTACTCACGGTAAGACCTGGACCCGGGACCGATTTTTTTTTTCGTTTTGAGGTCCCTAGAGGTCAAAAACACCATCCGTTCAAATTCATATATATATTTATATATATATAAATATATATTTATATATATATGTGTCCGTTAGCGCGATAACTCGAGCAAAGATGATCCGATTTTGATGAAATTTGGTACAAACGTGTAAACCTACGTTTATTCGAACGAGTTCGCGAACCAGCATGATCGGAACATGGGAACGGGGGTTTATGGGGGCTTTTATGGGGTAAAAATGGGTTTTTCCCATTTTTGACCCAAAAAACATAAAATTTTGCAATTTCTTTCGAAACTATTTTGTAGAGCTTAAAAAAACAAATAATTTAGTATATTGAAGCGTTATAATGCGCCTAATGGTTACGGAGAAAATTCCAAAAAATTGTAAATTTAAAATTCTCATGTTATTCTTATGGAGAATAAGTAAACTGTTGTAGTTTGCTTGTTTATAAACATATTTTGCCCAAATTTGGAAAATGTTTTTATTTCTTACTAACTATTAACATTTTACATAAAAAACACTTTTACCCTCCCTGTTGCAGCAAACCTAAGTATGTTTTAAACTGATTTTTTTAAATACGGAATAAATGTGATATTTTTAAGGAGACATTTTAGTGTAAATCCATTCAGGGAAATGGAAATTCGCTTAGTCTGCAGGTTTGCTGCGGCGGGGGTATTATTGTATTGGAGGGCCTGCAAACATATGTTGATAAAAGTGTTTGTTGTTTCTATGCAGTAGTGGTGTCGTCTGTAAACACGGTTGGTTTACCTCGTATTTATTTTGTTGTTTTTGCGTGTTTTTCGGATCAAAAAATTGTTTGTACTTATTGATAAACTCGTTTAGTTATATTCAAAGAGTGTTTTAGTAGTTTCCATTGTTATTTGTGAATATTTAGCGAACAAAGTGGACTTTGAAGTGACATTATGTGTGGGGGTTATTTTGTTTTGTTGGATTACAAACTTGATATTTTTACAATGGAAAATTATGCAGGACGATCCAGTGATTTACGTGAATTATTGATGAACGATCTTAGTGAAACTAATGATAATATTGATTCTGAAGTTGAGCCAGAGGAATCAGAAGAATCAGTCGTGGTGCCGGTAGGCCTAGGGGCAAGCCCATCAGTAAGTCAGCCTTGTGATGAGACAGGTGATGAATCAGATCTTGATGTAGACATTTATGTTTTACATAAATGTAAATGACATGTAAATGTAAATGACATGTTTTACATTATTACTTTTGTGTTTATGCCTGAGTAGGCTATTTCAAATAAGAAAGTGAATTATAATTTTGGTTTATTATTGTTATGTGACTGTTTGTGAACATTTATCTTCTTGGAGTTTATCCTTACCGTGGATACATAGTCCAAAAATTAGCAGGTATGCTTTTCAAATTATGTTTAGTTTAGATTTTTGTTGAATTACATTGTTTAGTAGCACATTAGAACTGACTAGTGTTGTATTTCATGACTTATAATAATTCTAGACACATATGTTTTCCATATGTCTGGTTCACGCAGAATTTTCACCGAGCACATCATGTGAAAAATCTCAAATTTTATGAATAATATATTACTTTTTCAGTAAACAAAATTTATTTCTAAAAACTAGATAAAATTTGCAACAAAATGTATATTTTGGAATTCTTGTGGCATTTCTGATGTGTATTGGACATGAGACATAAAATGCGGAAATGATTTTTTTATAAAATTTGTGTATAAAAAAATATGGTGTGTAAAAATTTTTTTTTTTGTTATTTTACAAAATAAATTTTACCATTGTATTCCTTGTTATTTTCTGAATAAAATGATGTATAGGTAGGCCTAATACATTACTTAAGTCATACAAATAATATTTTTTACGAATTTTAAAAAAAATGTATGTTAATTGCTGAAAAAAGTTTTGGCATTTGAAGAAATTTAATTGGCAGTTCCAGGGTTAAGAAGAAATTACATTCAAAGCAAAATCTGTGACAAAAAGTTAAAGTTACCTATGGGTTTCGAACCAGGTACCAGCATATCAGCCGAGCACTCTATCCACTATCCACGAACACTGATGGCTGAACATCGTATCATTGTGGTAATGGCGTTCCGGGACCCCCTACCGGACGCCTAATCCACGTCTGGTTACCGGACACGTATCCTCTGTGTTTAATAAAACCGAATTTTAATTTTGCATTATAATAATGCTATGGATTTACTATAAATTTTAGTGTTGATTTAAAATTATTACCTACTGTATTTTAATAAATTATAAAATTTTTGTTTAGACTAAATGAAAAAAACAATCTATCTAAATGATTACAACAAATGTTTATATTTAATAAAATATGATCTTTTTTCAGAAGAGGCAATAGATTTGAAGAGGAAAAGGAACTTCAAAAATTCATGTAGAAAAAAAACAATCTGCAAAGTATTATAGATACTAAAAACAACAGTTGAAAAAGTTTTTACTACACTAAAAGTACAAATGAAAGTAAGTAATTTACTATGTAAAACTTTAATTTATATAATGGCTGATGCAATATAATTTGAAAACAACATGAAAAAATAGAAATCACTTTTTCTTAAAATAGGACTACACGTAACTGTCCTAAGAAATAGACATACAAAGCCAGCTGACTAATTCCAATTAGTTTCTAGCTTGTCTAATAAGTTAGAAGTTGGAAATTGAAAACAAAAAAAAAATGTTAAAGGTCACTAAAAAGCCTCGCCTTAAGTGTCCAATATGTAGAAAAAAGTTTTCTACTCTATCAAATATGAAGTCTCATATATACTTACACACCAGCAAGCATCCCTTTAGATGTTTAACTTGTGAGAAAATATTTATTCATCTACATCATGTTAAGACTCATTTGTTAATTCATTCTGATAGGCGTCCTTATAAGTGTACTACATGTGGAAAATCCTTCGCAACCAGTGGCCGTATGAAGCAACATACATTAGTACACACTGGAGAGCGACCTCATAAGTGCACTTTATGTGGGAAATCCTTCTCAAGCAATGGCGATATGAAGAAACATACATTAGTGCACACCGGAGAGATACCTCATAAGTGTACTACATGTGGAAAATCCTTCTCAACCAGTTACTATATGAAGAAACATACATTAGTGCATCGGAGAGAGACCTCATAAGTGTACTATATGTGGAAAATCCTTCCAAACCAGTAGCGATATGAAGAGACATACATTAGTACACACCGGAGAGAGACCTCATAAGTGCACTATATGTGGAAAATCCTTCCAAACCAGTGGCAGTATGAAGAGACATACATTAGTACACACCGTAGTGAGACCTCATAAGTGCACTATATGTGGAAAATCCTTCCAAACCAGTGGCAGTATGAAGAGACATACATTAGTGCACACCGTAGTGAGACCTCATAAGTGCACTATGTGAAAAATCATTCCAAACCAGTGGCAGTATGAAGAGACATACATTAGTACACACCGTAGTGAGACCTCATAAGTGTACTATATGTGGAAAATCCTTCTCAACCAGTTACTATATGAAGAAACATACATTAGTGCACCGGAGAGAGACCTCATAAGTGTACTATATGTGGAAAATCCTTCCAAACCAGTGGCAATATGAAGAAACATACATTAGTGCACACCGAAGAGATAACTCATAAGTGTACTATATGTGGAAAATCCTTCTCAACCAGTTACTATATGAAGAAACACACATTAGTGCACCGGAGAGAGACCTCATAAGTGTACTATATGTGGAAAATCCTTCCAAACCAGTGGCAATATGAAGAAAAATACATTAGTGCACACCGGAGAGATACCTCATAAGTGTACTATATGTGGAAAATCCTTCTCAACCAGTTACTATATGAAGAAACATACATTAGTGCACCGGAGAGAGACCTCATAAGTGCACTATATGTGGAAAATCCTTCCAAACCAGTGGCAGTATGAAGAGACATACATTAGTACACACCGTAGTGAGACCTCATAAGTGCACTATGTGAAAAATCATTCAAAACCAGTGGCAGGTTGATGAAACATACATTAATTCACATAGGAGCAATACATGTGGAAAATCATTTACAATCAAAATATTTGTGAAGAAACATACATCAATTCACACCCAAGAATTTAAGCAGGGGGAGTTTCGATGATGAAAAACATTTAAAAAACGCACAGGAAAGCATTTATGTCATCTACAGAGCTGAAAATTATGTCATGTTTTTCATAAATTATGGCTGTAAGTGCCTGTTGCGGCTGCGTACGCATAAACAGTCCTTACATAAAAAAACAGCCCTTGTAATAGGCTACCATGTCAGATATTCTTTGTTTAATTTTAGAAAAAATATCAGGCAAGTCCACTTTGATTCACGTAGGTTTGAATCATTTTCTTAAATTCTTCCATTACACGTCCCAATATGTCACGGCCACCAAACAATTTTTTTCTGCCACTTTCAGGTTAATGGCATCCTATAAGATCAATCAGAGTTCGGGCATAGATGAAACATACTCCCTTAGTATATTCTCCGCCGGATAGGGCTCGGTATGTTCGAGCTGCTTGTACGGCGAAGTTACTGGCCCACGTAGTTCTGTACGGTCAGGCTAGGAGCGCTAGAGGTCTCGCCATACAACCACACACACAAACACACTCTTATTTCAGTATTTGTATCATCAGTTGTTTTATTGTGATTGTACTAGTTTAATTAATTTGATGTTGATAATAAATTGTTTTTTTATTTGAATAGCCATCTATTGTATTTGTTACTTGTGGGTATTTTGAACCGACTTCCCCAATACCAACAAAAGAATAAGGTTCTCAATTCGTTTGTGCCAATGTATCTTTTTCTATATATGTTCCCCAATTTCTCTGAGATTTTTATACCGATCAGCGTGGTTCCACCCCCTAAATAACCAGGAGGGTTATCCATTTTTACCATATATATATAACATTATGTTTATGTGTAAAGTGCTTTAGTAGCTTAGTAGAAAGATATTTGTCAAACTTAAGAGTTTCAGTTGAGTTATGTTCCTGAAACCAAAGGGGAATGTGTAACTATTTTATAGAATGGAATGCAAGAAAAATATTTTTGTTCAGTGCCCTCTCCGTTGCGAAGCACGGGTACAACAGCTAGTTGAAAATAAATATCACCAATGAAAAGCGTGTTAAAAATGTATGCTATTTCATATATTATACACTTCTGTATGATTAAAGATAATGTAAAAATCTTAAAAAAACAAATTGTATTGTAAATATAATCTTATTGAATGAATATTAGTCTATGGCCTGTATTACAAATGTAAACCTTAAAGCTTCTCCAGTTCGTTGACAAACGTTAATGATGTTAGGCTTTCGTTTATATATAAAAATATGCAGAGCCCTCCCACCACCTATGAACACCAGCCGCCACTGCATCTATCACTGGATTACTCTCGCTACTTAACACAACACATTTACTCTGCTTTTTGACACCTGTCACTGATGGTTTCTGCCACTGATGGTTGTCACTGATAATGCACCCTGGACATGTTGGAGCAATGTTTGTTCCCTTAACCTGAAGATAATATGGAATGGAAGACTTTGTGACCTTGAAGTAACATACATTGGTTCATACAGAAGAGCGACCCCATAAGTGCACTTCATGTGGAAGCAGGATGGGGCTCCTCCTTATTGGCTCTCGCTCTGCAATGCCCATGTTTTTAAATGACAAACTTCCTGATGGTTGGATTGGCCGCTGTAAAGTTAGTAAACATAACCTGTTCTACTGTTGTCACTGTAATGTGAATACTTTCCTACAAATTGGAGAGGTTTGAGCTAATAGCAAGAAGAAAGCCCTGTTATTAACATAGCCCCAGAGAAAGAAATTGCGAAAAAATCCGGCAAACAGGTTGACCATTCATGTATCGTCAGTTGAATAAAGTATTTTAAAACCCAATAAATACCGGGTGTCCCAAAAAGAATGGATCAAAAGTAAACTGACATGAACACTTTAGTTCTTAAAGATAAAAAGTTAATTTTATATACATTTTATTTCTTAACATTCTAAGTTTTTCCTAACATGATTTCACCGCCCAACCTCTACATGTTCTCCGTTGTTCACTCGGAGAAAGTCAAGGCGGTGTTCAAGCTCAGACCACACATTATGTCGCATTTCATTGGATATTTTTACAAAGGTTACCCTTATATTTGCTTAAAGTTCATATAAGTTTAAGATCGGCAAGGTATACACTTGACTCACAAATCCCCATACAAACAATTACGAGGCGTAATGTCTGGAGATCTAGGAGGCCTCCGTATGGGACCGCCGCGACCAATCCAACTGGGAAGGATTCATCCGTCTGGCCGATGTTTCCAGAATCCTTAAACTGCCTGTACCATCGCTGCATACTGTTTTTGGATGGTGGATTTACATTGTATACAGTCCGAAATCTTCTTTTTACTTTAACCACTGATTTAGTCTCAATGAAGCACTCAAGGCGCTGTGCTTTTAACTGCACATACATAATACATAGGGCCATAGCGGACGAGTTTGCTACTTACTTTAAGTCTGTGTACGAGCCTTGTCAGCTGGGCTGCGACGATCTGTGTCGGCGTGCGCTCCGCTCACCGACCCTGCCTGGCGTCCCGTGCCTCAATGTCTCCTGTGTCTCGTATCATGATGTCCTCTCTGCACTCAAAAACCTCAAACCTAAAAGATCTCTTGGTCCAGATGGAATACCGCCATATATTCTCAAAGCCTGTGCAGATTTGTTTGTTGAACCGCTTCTAGCTATTTTTAATCTCGCGATTACCAGCAATGTTTTCCCAACGAAATGGAAGCAAGCTAAAATAATTCCCATTTTCAAAAAGGGCCGAAGAGACATCATAAAGAATTATCGTCCAATATCAATTTTGCCTGCTCCTGTTAAAGTATTTGAATCAATTCTTCATCATAAAGTGTTCAGCCATGTCAGTAAATTTCTATCTTCAAAACAGCACGGATTTTTCCCCAGCAGATCCATTAATTCAAATCTGTTAAATTTTTCTGAGTTTTGTATTCCTGTTATTGATAGTGGTAATCAAGTTGATGTTATCTACACTGACTTCGAGAAGGCCTTCGACAAAGTTGATCATCTGGCTTTGCTTTCGAGATTGAACTACTTTGGTTTTTCTGAAGGACTCTTAAAATTCTTCTGTTCATATCTCAGGGGTCGAAAACAATTTGTATCTTTTGAGGGACACCTATCAGAACAATTTGATGTAGACTCAGGTGTGCCCCAGGGCTCAAATTTGGGACCTTTGCTATTTATTTTGTACATTGATAGCTTAAAAGATTTGATAATAAACTGCGAGTTTCTTCTATATGCTGACGATCTCAAAATATTCACTATTGTCAACAACCAACAAGATTGTGTTATGCTACAAGATGATATCGATCGATTGTTTCTTTGGAGTCGTGACAATCTAAAATTTCATGTGGATAAATGTTCTGTTGTAACATATTCAAAGAAAACCCCTAGTAACCTCATCATGCATAATTATAATATTGGTGGTAGTCTTCTTTCGAGGAAAACTTCAATTAAAGACTTGGGTGTGACATTTGATTCCAGATTTACATATAATGATCATGTGATTTCCATTTGTAAGACTGCCTTCTCAATTGTTGGTCTTATCCGCAGGTTGGGCAACATTTTTACTAATCAGAGAAGTATTAAACTGTTATATTGTTCACTGGTCAGGTCAAGATTAGAATATGCTTCTGTGGTATGGTATCCTAGTGTGAACTATTTATCCGATCTCATAGAGGATGTCCAAAAAAGGTTCTTGAGATTTCTTTATTACAAAACATTTGGTTACTATACGATGTTGGTCCCATACTCAGAACTTCTCACACTGTTTGAACTCGATCAGTTGAGTACTAGGCGTAAAGTGTCAATGATGTTGTATCTGAGGCGGTTGGTGTGTGGTGAGCTCGACGACGCAGCGCTGCTGTCCCGTGTGCGGTTCACGTTGCCCAGACACAATTCACGTTCGCGTTTGCTCTTCTCCCCCCACTTCTCTAGAACGAACCTTGGAATGTGTTCGCCGCTCAACTCAATGGTTAGGCTGTTCAACACAATTAATAACGACCAAATAGATATATTTTTTAACTGTCACAGTACGTTCAGGAAATACGTTTTTAGATATTTAATTACTCCAAATAATTATTGTTTTTAAAATTAATTACTCTGTTCAGACTTTGTTGTTGTATTTTATTTATTTAATTTGTTATTGTTGTTATAGATATTTAAATAATTGCCAATGTTATTTTTTAAGATATTTATTTGTACGTTATTTATTGATATTAGTTCGTTTTTGTCATATATTGTATTGTTGTGAGTGATTACACTAATAATTATATTTATTCAGCAAGATGAACTTTTACCATATTTATTATTTATAATGCATGTCAAGATTTTGTTGTTCGAATATTAATGCTACAATGTAACTGGGTTTATCCTGTTTTGCAGCATTGCAATAAAATAAATAAATAAATAAATAAATAAATAAATAATGCATCCGTGTGGTTTGTTTATGTTTTGAAATTCAAGCGTGCTCACAACAATAAACAGCTGATTTTTGTTGAATCATACTAAAAAAACTTAAAGATGTCAGCTTTAAAATAAGCCATACTCGACTTTCCTACGACCCTCAATAACTCGTATATTAAGCTGTAGATTTGATCCATTCTTTTTGGGACATGGTGTATTTTATGGACACCTAGACCATACCTATTAAGATAAAATTTATATTATCTGCAATTACATTTATAATTTTAATTTTGCATTATAATTATGCTATGGATTTACTATAAATTTTAGTGTTGATTTAAAATTATTATTTAAATAAATTATAAAATTTTTGTTTAGACTAAATGAACAAACATACTATCTAAATGATTACAACAAATGTTTATATTTAATAAAATATGATCTTTTTCAGAAGAGGCAATAGATATGAAAAGGAAAAAGAACTTCAATAATTCATGTAGCAAAAAAAATTTAATCTGCAAAGTATTATAGATACTTAAAACAACAGATAAAAAGATTTAAGTTTTTACTACACTAAAAGTACAAATGAAAGTAAGTAATTTACTATGTAAAACTTGAATTTTATATAATGGCTGATGCAATATTATTTGAAAACAACATGAAAAAATAGAAATCACTTTTTCTTAAAATAAGACAACTAATTTAATATGATTGAATATAAAAGTCAAGAAAAATGCCTCAAGTAGGCTGTGTTGTATTGTATTTAATGAACATAACAATATTTGATCAAAAAGTTAATCAAATTTGATTGATACACGTAACTGTAAGCACCAAATCCTAAAAAATACACATACAAAGCCAACTGACTAATTCCAATTAGTTTGTAGCTTGTCTAATAAGTTATAAGTTGGAAATTGAAAACAAAAAAATGTTAAAGGTCACTAAAAAGCCTCGCCTTAAGTGTCCAATATGTAGAAAACTGTTTTCAACTCTATCAAATATGAAGCCTCATATATACCTACACACCGGCGAGCGTCCCTTTAGATGTTTAACTTGTGAGAAAATATTTATTAATCTATATCATGTTAAGACTCATTTGTTAATTCATTCTGATAAGCATCCTTATAAGTGTACTATATGTGGAAAATACTTCACAAGCAGTGGCAGTATGAAGAAACATACATTAGTACACACCGGAGAGAGACCACATAGGTGTACTATATGTGGAAAATCATTCCAAACCAGTAGCGATATGAAGAGACATACATTAGTACACAACGAAGAGAGACCTCACAAGTGCACTATATGTGAAAAATCCTTCACAACCAGTAGCCGTATGAAGCAACATAGATTAGTACACACCAAAGAGAGACCTTATAAGTGTTCTACATGTGGAAAATCCTTCTCAACCAGTGGCCGTATGAAGCAACATACATTAGTACACACAGGAGAGAGACCTTATAAGTGCATTTTATGTGGAAAATCCTTCTCAAGCAGTAGCAGTATGAAGATACATACATTAGTACACACCGGAGAGAGGCCTCATAAGTGCACTATATGTGGAAAATCCTTCTCAACCAGTAGCCGTATGAAGCAACATAGATTAGTACACACCGAAGAGAGACCTTATAAGTGTTCTACATGTGAAAAATCCTTCGCAACCAGTGGCCGTATGAAGCAACATACATTGGTACACACGGGAGAGCGACCTCATAAGTGCACTTTTTGTGAAAAACTCTTCTCAAGCAAGGGCAATATGAAGCAACATACATTAGTGCACACCGGAGAGACACCTCATAAGTGTACTATATGTGGAAAATCCTCCCAATCCAGTAGTGATATGAAGAAACATACATTAGTGCACACTGGAGAGATACCTCATAAGTGTACTACATGTGGAAAATCCTTCTCAACCAGTTACTGTATGAAGAAACATACATTAGTGCACCGGAGAGAGACCGCATAAGTGTACTATATGTGGAAAATCCTTCCAAACCAGTAGCGATATGAAGAGACATACATTAGTACACACCGGAGAGAGACCTCATAAGTGCACTATATGTGGAAAATCCTTCCAAACAAAAATGATTATGAAGAGACATACATTAGTACACACTGGAGAAAGACCTCATAAGTGCACTATATGTGGAAAATCCTTCTCAACCAGTAGCCGTATGAAGCAACATAGATTAGTACACACCGAAGAGAGACCTTATAAGTGTTCTACATGTGAAAAATCCTTCGCAACCAGTGGCCGTATGAAGCAACATACATTGGTACACACGGGAGAGCGACCTCATAAGTGCACTTTTTGTGAAAAACTCTTCTCAAGCAAGGGCAATATGAAGCAACATACATTAGTGCACACCGGAGAGACACCTCATAAGTGTACTATATGTGGAAAATCCTCCCAATCCAGTAGTGATATGAAGAAACATACATTAGTGCACACTGGAGAGATACCTCATAAGTGTACTACATGTGGAAAATCCTTCTCAACCAGTTACTGTATGAAGAAACATACATTAGTGCACCGGAGAGAGACCGCATAAGTGTACTATATGTGGAAAATCCTTCCAAACCAGTAGCGATATGAAGAGACATACATTAGTACACACCGGAGAGAGACCTCATAAGTGCATTATATGTGGAAAATCCTTCCAAACCAGTGGCAGTATGAAGAGACATACATTAGTACACACCGTAGTGAGACCTCATAAGTGCACTATATGTGGAAAATCCTTCCAAACCAGTGGCAGTATGAAGAGACATACATTAGTGCACACCGTAGTGAGACCTCATAAGTGCACTATGTGAAAAATCATTCCAAACCAGTGGCAGTATGAAGAGACATACATTAAACAGAAAACTATGAATACAACAAAATTATGAAGCAGTAGTGATAGTTTTTTTTTTAAATTTATAATTGTATTGTTTTTTTAGTTTTATATTTGACGCCATTTCTTGTAATGACATGTACAAGGACAAATAAAGTGATTTGATTGATTGATTGATTGATTGATTGATTAGTACACACCGTAGTGAGACCTCATAAGTGTACGATATGTGGAAAATCCTTCTCAACCAGTTACTATATGAAGAAACATACATTAGTGCACCGGAGAGAGACCTCATAAGTGTACTATATGTGGAAAATTCATTACAACCAGTAGCAAAATGAAGAATCATACTTTAGTACACACCGGAGAGATACCTAATAAGTGTACTATATGTGGAAAATTCTTTACAACCAGTAGCAAAATGAAGAATCATACATTGGTACACACAGGAGAGCGACCTCATAAGTGCACTTTTTGTGGAAAACTCTTCTCAAGCAAGGGCAATATGAAGCAACATACATTAGTGCACACCGGAGAGATACCTCATAAGTGTACTATATGTGGAAAATCCTCCCAATCCAGTATTGATATGAAGAAATATACATAAGTACACACCGGAGAGAGACCTCATAAAGGTACTACATGTGGAAAATCCTTCTCAACCAGTGGCAGTATGAAGAAACATACATTAGTATACACCAAGGAGAGACCTCATAAGTGCACTATATGTGGAAAATCCTTCACAACCAGTTACTATATGGAGAAACATACATTAGTGCACACCGGAGAGATACCTCATAAGTGTACTATATGTGGAAAATTCTTTACAACCAGTAGCAAAATGAAGAATCATACATTAGTACACACCGGAGAGATACCTCATAAGTGTACTATATGTGGAAAATTCTTTACAACCAGTAGCAAAATGAAGAATCATACATTAGTACACACCGGAGAGAGACCTCATAAGTGCACTATACGTGGAAAATCCTTCACAACCAGTTACTATATGAAGAAACATACATTAGTGCACACCGGAGAGAAACCTCATAAGTGTACTATATGTGGAAAATTCTTTACAACCAGTTACTATATGAAGAAACATACATTAGTGCACACCGGAGAGAAACCTCATAAGTGTACTATATGTGGAAAATTCTTCACAACCAGTTACTATATGAAGAAACATACATTAGTGCACACCGGAGAGAAACCTCATAAGTGTACTATATGTGGAAAATTCTTTACAACCAGTAGCAAAATGAAGAATCATACATTAGTACACACCGGAGAGAGACCTCATAAGTGCACTATATGTGGAAAATCCTTCACAACCAGTTACTATATGAAGAAACATACATTAGTGCACACCGGAGAGATACCTCATAAGTGTACTATATGTGGAAAATTCTTTACAACCAGTAGCAAAATGAAGAATCATACATAAGTACACACCGGAGAGAGACCTCATAAAGGAACTACATGTGGAAAATCCTTCTCAACCAGTGGCAGTATGAAGAAACATACATTAGTACACACCGGAGAGAGACCTCATAAGTGCACTATATGTGGAAAATCCTTCACAACCAGTTACTATATGAAGAAACATACATTAGTGCACACCGGAGAGATACCTCATAAGTGTACTATATGTGGAAAATTCTTTACAACCAGTAGCAAAATGAAGAATCATACATTAGTACACACCGGAGAGATACCTCATAAGTGTACTATATGTGGAAAATTCTCTACAACCAGTAGCAAAATGAAGAATCATACATTAGTACACACCGGAGAGAGACCTCATAAGTGCACTATACGTGGAAAATCCTTCACAACCAGTTACTATATGAAGAAACATACATTAGTGCACACCGGAGAGATACCTTATAATAGTACAGGTAAAATAATACAAAAACACTCCATATAAACAACAAAATTTGTACATTCATGAAATTTCACCCGTGAGTTACTAATAATATGAGAAATGAAGATCCGATGAGTCCCCAAAATTTTGAGTGTCCTAAGGCCCTTTTTGGGGCTCTTTTTGATCCGAAGGGCCCTTGTTCCTGAATAATTTTCTTTTTACGTTTAAGGTCGAGTGAGGTGTGGTTTTCGATGGTTTTAGTTATTTTAAATCGATTGGGACCAGTTTTAAGCGTATTAAACCACTCCATACAGGGTGTTTCGAAATATTATTACTTTTTACGATATTTAAACATTTATTCATAAAGTAATAAAATTAGTTACCTCCATGCTCTATATAAAAGGGGATTATTGAAAATAATTGTAACTACGTAAGGGGAAAGGATAACAAGGAGTAAGAGAAGATATTAAATACCCCCGTCACAGCTAACCTGCAGACTAAGCAAATTTTCTTTGCCCGATTTTCAATTAACTAAATAACTAATAGCATTGAGTTTAATGAATACTTAGGTTTGCTGCTACAAGGAGGCTAATAAAGTGTGTTTATAGCAAAATATTAATAGCCTAGTATAAAACAAATAAATTTGAAAAGTTTTATTAATACATATATATATAAACAAATAAACAAAATCGTTACACTATTCTCCTTAAGAATATCATGGAATTTTCAATTTAAAATTTTTGAATTTTATTCGTAACTAATACACTTACATAACACGTTAATATAAAAAATTATTTGTTTTCTTTAAGCTCTTTAAATGCTCTAGAGAAAAATTGGGAAACTTTGTGTTTTGAGGGTCAAAGATTACAAATTTATACCACATA